CAAATGGTTAGAAACAATTGATATTATTGATATCAAGACATTAAAGAAAACTCTCTACATCAATTTCCAACTCATGAGATAATTCAACAACATTTTTCAATCAAGTTGTAAACTCCACAATTTACACATAATCTCATGAATTATCAAGTAATGCCAAGCTTCTTTAACATTTCAATTTCAATAATTTTGAGCAAACAAAGAATTAGGCATAAACTAGGCTAATGTTAGCAAACAAACAAATGTTACAAGTATCACATAATTGACACAATCACAAGCTATGAAAAATAATGAATAAAGACAAAAAAGTCACATTTAGGTCAAGAATCACAATTATGGACAAGTTGAAAAAGTGAACCGATACACAAGGCACAAGCTTAAAAATCAACCGGAATAATTTATCAAAATTATCGGAAGCTATGCACACGCATACGGTCTCAAAATGCAGACGATTCGGTCAAATTTTATTCAAGAAATGCGATTTTCACACACAAGTCAGCAGCTCCTATATTTGATCGAAACATATCCGAATCGAGAAAACGTTCGCGTGGAGTGCCTCGGATGGCTCGAGAAAGTCAATTTTCATTATTGAAAGTCGGAAAAACTCAAAACGGATCAATAGTTAGAGCAAAAACACCAATTATGTCAAACTTTGTCAATTTGCTAAATCTTGAGATATTTTCTATCAAACTCAACCAAACTTGTTTCAAATGTGTTTTGCAATGATGTTTGAGTCCACTAGAAATTATCTCAACTCATTGAAATAGCAGCAACAAACAATCAATCAACAATTGGCAAAAAGATTAGTTTATGTCAAGAATTGGTAACTTGAGATCATATGCAAAAATGCATTTCAAGTGCACAAAAATATCAATGATCATCCACCAAAAATAATTGGAAACATATAGCAAAGCTTAAAAATCAAAGATTAGGCCTAAACTAAACTAATTGTTAGTTTATGTTACAACACCTAAATCAAAGTTAGTGTTTGAATATACCTAACCTAAACTATTAACAAATTCCACATCAAGAATTAATGTTAATCTAATCAAGAGTTCAAAATCTCAAACTAGTGTTAGTGCTAACTGGTTTTCTATAGCTAATTCAACCTAAACACTAGTGTAACTAAGCCTAGGGCTAAAAATCAACACAACAACACTATGTCAATTTCAAGTTAAACCAAAATCAACTTCTCAAGTTCAATTAATCACTTATTTCAATAAGCAATTCAACAAAATGGTATTAAATCCTTAATTCAAATCAATTCTCAATAATTAAGCCTCAATTATACAATTAAAACCTCAATCAACAACAAAACCAAGAAAAAACACTTATTAAAAAAAATCACTTATTTCAAAAAGCGCTTAATTCAAGAAAATTCACCAATATAAGTGAAGAGGAAGCTTAGATATAGAGATCGCAATAAACGGATCAACAATCAGAGAAGAATTGCTCTTAATCTTGACTTTTTGATCTTGATGAAGTTGTTGTTGTGTTCTTGATGAAAATGTGTAGAACCTTGATTTGATCTTTGAGAGAATTGAGAGAAATTTTTTAATTATTTGTGGAGATTGGTGAGTTATGAGAGAAATTTGAGTAAAAAGAATATATAGTATGGGCTTATGTGAATGAATTTGGTTAATGGGTTTCAAATATCCATAAATAGTAATGCAGAGTTTTAATTAACTTGAGTGCGACACGTTCCGGGCAAATTCGCAGGAATCTCGATGCAAGTTTTTAAGTTGAAATGTGAAACCAAAATGTAGCCGACATTGTGAACGAACTTCTATCCAAAAATGGGCTCAATCGAGTAAACGGTGATTTAGTTATGAATTTTTGAAATTTCGTCTCAGACAACTTTAATTCCCAGCTTCAGAATTTTCAGTGAGTTGCACATGTTTCGGACCGAAAACGGAAGCCTTCAGGGTACCGTTGACTCTTGAAAATGGAAACTAAAATTTAGCTAACTCAATTTGTGAGACAATTCCACTGGAGCAGGTTCGATACGATCAAAATCGACCGATTTATGATTTTTTGGATATGGTGCAGATAAACATTTGCCCCAATTTTCCTGTGCGAAAATACTTGATAAATCCATATTTTCGGAGCCTTTCTGAGCAGAATTAGCTTCCGGCCGTGAGAGATAAAAATATAGATGACACCGAGACAGAATTTTAGCCACCAAAACGGGTTCAAAACGAGTCACAGGCTTCGAGTTATGAATTTTTTAGTGCGCGTAAAACACAGTTCAGCCAATTGTTTATCAATATTTTCCACTATTCAGCTTTGTCTGATTTGCAAATTCGGAAACCTTCCTTCGAGAATTAGCTTTAGGCCCGAACACAGAAGTTTGAGAGAATATAGAGAAGGATTAAACGGTGAAAGAACCACCTCGAGACGGTATATAAAATCGAAGTTAGATATTTCTGAACGCCCAAAACACCGTTGATTGGTAACCTGAAAACTCAGTAATAAAATTATTTGACCGCCACCTGCATATAATTGGCTCCCGGACCGAATACGAAAAGTGAAGATAATATCAACACGGACTTGGTGATCAAATTTCAGCCTAAAACAGTACTCTAGCTTGCAGTTAAAAAATTATGAAGTTGACGCACCGAAATAGATTTTTAACCTGAACTGTTCTGAATCAGATCAAAACCTCTGGTTCCCTTATATTGCCCAAGACATGAGAAAATACACAGGAATAGAACATGGTGATAACCCGTTCCCCATATGATTGAATTGTCTGCACAAAACTTTTGACATTTTTGATAAATAGTCGATGCTTTACTAGCATACCTTGATCTTATAGCAACAGAACCAATGTATGTATGCATATGCAGATGAAATATAAGCCAAATAAAAATTCTGAAATTAAGAGGGTAAATTTTGGGGTGCAACAGATATCATTGACAAACATAAGTACAAGTAAAATGTCATGCTTGGATTTAATAAGAAGTTGTATCAATATTCCGTCTTTTTTTCAAGGGGAAACTTTCTCAGACGATCATACCGAGCTCTGGGATCTTGTTTTAATCCGTAGAGAACATTTTTTTCAGTTTTGAAAACATGATCATAAAATAAGTGTTTAGAAAACTGGGGGGTTAATCAACATACACTTCTTCTTGGATGTAATCATTCATGAACGCGTTCTTTACTTCCAGTTATAATAGTTTTGAAATTCAAAATTCTAGAGAAAGCTAAAATAATCCTTATAGCCTCTAATCTAGATACAATGGCATAAGTATCATCGAAATACATGCCTCTGCTGGATGTACCCTTTGGAAACAAGTTTGATTTATTTCTTAAAGCATTTTAGTCAAACTTGTTGTGAAAGACCTATTTGGTTCTGTTGCACCCCAAAATTTGCCCTCCTAAATTTCTTCTATTTTGGCTTAGATTCTTACATTCATTTGTATATATATTCCATTAGGTCATTAACATACATTTGCATTCAATAAAGTGCTTAAGGATCAAAGTTCAGTGGTTGTGCGATATTAGGGTTTCTAATCCTTGGTGTTCAGATCTGATTTGGTTTTCATTTGAGGCGCTCTCTTCATCGCAATCAAGTCGTGGCCATCTTGGTCATATTTCTCTCTGTATCCTCATGTTCATTTCCAAGCTGTTCTACAAGGTCATCTAAGGGCTACTAAATCAAGCATTCATTATCTCCTTGTGCTCAAAGTCATCCTTTGATTAGGGTTTATTTCCCTATGCGTGGGTTTGTCTGATGAATTTGGCAGGGCTAATAGTCAAAGGTTCTTCGCCAATGACTAGCTAGGGTTTTCTTTCGACCTTTCTTTATAAGTCAAAAGGGGGAGCTTATTACTTAAGTCACAACCTAGGTGATCGGAAACCTCATACAGAAGACAAATGTGGATATACTGGTGCCCGTTTTACCGTTTGATCTTTGATTATCATTGATTCAAATAAATTCGTTCAATTAGCTATGATGCTTGAGAATCAAGATGTCACATTGCTTAGGCCATACAAGTCATGTCTTTGGTTCTCACACGAGGCTTTGAGGTGAACGTGGTGTATTGGATCATAGTTGCATCCAATATTTTGACAATATCTTACTTGAGTTCCTTTGATTGACTGAGAGTATCTGACCTCATGATGTGTTATATTAAAGAATGTAATTTGAAGCAAAATTTGAAAGGTTAAAAGAAGCTTTTAGAGGGAAAGAAAGATTCAAGTCATATTTCATCTCCAAGATACCAAGTATCACAAAACTCATCCGAGAAATATTGAAGAATCCAAATGAAATACAATAATATGAAAGCAAGGTTCAAGATTGAAAATTGGAGAAAATATTAGATGCTTGAAGATTCATTCAAATTAAAGCATAATGGAGGGAAATTCAAACTTTATCATTTTTTTTTAAAATAAGTCATATTCCCCTATATGAATCAAAGTTACACTCCAAATCCAATTTCAATTGTCATTACAATACTGGAAAAGATAGAAAGAGATTACACTTTTGACCAATTCTACAAAGTTCACATTAAGCTTACAATCTAATCTTCATTCTTCATTTTCTTTACCAAGCCTCCTTTGACTCCACCTTGCACGTCCTTTCTTCAAGCCTTATCCTCCATGGTCCCGCCTTTAAGTCATGATGCAACCCACACAAAATATGAGAGAATTAACAACAAGGATGTTAATTAGCAGACAATCCATTTCTTTAGAATATACGATGGCCACGGTGCTCTCAATAGATAAATTGTTGTTGTGATTGTATGCATTTGGTTTTACCTAAGGAAGTAGAATTGTTCAAAGAAGGTCTAATAATTGGAAGTACAAAGGATGATTGTCAAAATTTATGAAAGGGTTTTTACTAACTGAATTTTTGAAGGTTGATAATGAAGTTGGGGAGAGAGTTAACGGTGAACCTGTTGCACCAGGAAATGTTGGTTCCATAACTACTATTTGTTCATCCCATATTATAGTTCCAAACTATGGTAATTCCTTTGCGGTTTGAGCTTCTTTGTTCCATCATGATACCCATTTCAATTAAGGTATCTCTGGATTTCATGAAGAGCTTGTATGCAAAGTTTATTGACTGGGACCATATAATGATTGACCTAGAGACTAGTATTCCATCTCATGCAACAAATACAGCGATAAGCGAGGACCTTGGACAAATAGAGTACATTTTGACAGACAAAACAGGCACCTTGACTGAAAATAAGATGATATTCAGAAGATGTTGTATTAATGGAATTTTCTATGGAAATGAGAGTGGAGATGCATTGAAAGATGTAAAGCTCCTTAATGCTGTTTCCAGTGGTTCTCCTGATGCTGTACTATTTCTTACATGGCAATATGTAATATTGTCATACCCACACGAAGAAAAACTGGAGATTCTTGTATAAGGCACAGTCTCAGGATGAAGATGCTCTTGATCAAGCTGCTGCTCAGCCGCATATGATTTTCGTCAATAAAAGTGGAAACATTTTTGAAGCCAAGTTCAACACTACTATACTTCAGTATGAAGTCCTGGAGATCTTAGAGTTCACTTCTGATAGGAAAAGAATGTCAGTAGTGTTGAAAGATTGCCAAGATGGAAAGATCCTTCTCCTGTCAAAGGGAGCAGATGAGGCTATTCTTCCATATGCTCGTGCTGGGCAGCAAACTCGTCACTTCATTAAAGCTGTGGAACAATATGCTCACTTGGGATTACGTACACTATGTTTGGTTTGGCGCGAGTTAAAGAAAGATGAATATCAAGATTGGTCTTCGATGTTTAAAGAAGCTAGTAGCACTTTGGTTGATAGGGAGTGGAGAGTAGCTGAGGTCTGCCAAAGAATAGAACATGACTTGGAAATCCTTGGTGTTACGGCGATAGAAGATCGCTTACAGGATGAAGTTCCTGAAACAATAGAAACACTAAGGAAAGCTGGAATAAATTTTTGGATGCTAACAAGAGACAAACAAAATACTGCAATAACAAAACCCCAAGTAACTGAATGAAACCGTGAAAATGGATCAATCTCAGAACCAGCGATCACTAACAACACCACCACCACCATCGCGTTCTGTTCAATTTCACCCTGCTCGAGTACCGATTCTCGATCTCCTCACTCTACTTAGGACTTGGAAGAAACAGCCGCAACAAACCCGACGACTCACTCCGCGAACCACCGAACAAAGCGCAAAAACGCGTGCATGCTATTAACAGAGAGCTTCCACCGCCAAATGAGCAATTCATTTTAGATTTTGAGCAACTTCAGAGCCAGTTTCCGGACCATGAGCAATTACGTTTCGTGGTTGAAGCTGTTCTTATACCATTGGTTGCACAGTGTAGTGGTCATGGGTCGCGATCAGACTTTCTTATTTTTATTTTTCGAAGCTTGAGCGGTATTTGGTGCATTAACTGAGACGCCTTTCTTCCGTCCCTTCTTTCTTCAGTTTCTTCGGCAGAATTACCGGTTGATCAAATCAGTCAAGCAGTGTCAACAATTACCTCTTCTAGCTTATCACAGTCAGGAATGTTGCCTCCTCTAAATACAATTACTAATTCTTCTAATTTTCAGTCTTCAAATCCTGCATCTCCATTGAATTCTATCCATACTATTGGCTCCCCTGCATAGCCATCGATTGAGCCATCATCTGATATTTCCTCGAGTCAATTACAATCTAAACTAAGAGGCGGACCGTCTGTTGAAAATAATGATATCAGTAACAGTAACCTTCGCCAGCTATGTTGCAAAATCATTTTAACTGGTCTGGAGTTCAGTTTAAAACATGTGACATATGCCGGAATCTTCAACCATATGCTCAATTGGCTGGTGAATTGGAACCAGAGACAACATGGAGTTGATGAATCTGTTATTCTGAAGTCATGGAGACTTGACAAAACTGTAATTGCCTGGCTACATAGTTGCTTGGATGTGATCTGGCTTTTAGTTGATGAGGGAAAATGTCGGGTTCCCTTTTATGAATTATTACGTAGTATTTTCAATTCATAGAAAATATACCTGATGATGAAGCATTATTTACACTTATCTTGGAGATCCACAGGAGACGAGACATGATGGCTCTGCACATGCAAATGTTAGACCAGCATCTTCATTGCCCTACATTTGGGACTCATCGGATCCTAAACCAGACCATACCTACTATTTCAAATTTAAACGAAGCAATAGCGCACCTGCGACTATCACCACTCTCATATTTAAGTGTACTTAGAGAACCATTGCAAGGAGAGGATATTACAACCTCTATTCAGAAGGGAAGTTTGGACTGGGAGAGAGCTATATGTTGCATCAGGCATGCTCTCCGTACCACACCTTCACCTGATTGGTGGAGACGAGTACTGGTACTTGCTCCTTGCCACAGGCCTTCATTTCAAGGGAGTACTGCTGGTGCTGTTTTTTCTTTAGAGATGATTTATGAAGCAGTTATTGATAGGATTGTAGAACTATCCAAATTAACAAATTCAGAGATAAATTGCTGGCAGGACTGGCTTGTCTTCTCTGATATTTTCTATTTTTCTTACGAAAAGTGGGTGCATTGATTTTATTGACTTTGTGGACAAGCTGATGTTGAAACTTTGAGAGAAAAGGTGAAGATGGCTGAAGAGACTGTCAAAAGAATTACTAGATTGAATCTGATGTTTCGCATCATGCCTGATATGTCATCAATGGGCATGCCTTCATTTGATGGAAGCACTTCAGACAATTCAGCTGACGCAGTTGTTCCTGTGCAAGATGATCCACATCATCGCTTCTACCAACATACATAACAGAATTTTCTAAACAAAATTCTAAATAGCCTATTCCAAAATTAACCTGCAAACTGAATTACTAATTCCCATAACCAAATTCCAACAACTTACTAACAACCTCCATAACAAACTTCAACAGAAAATCCCAATTGTTTTAACAATACACAACAAAACCTCCAAACAGAATTCCCAACTAGCATAACCACCTTGTAACGAACTCTCAATCTCACCCTTCAATCCCTAACAAACTCTACCCAAATCAATGATTCGGATTGATTCTCACTTAACCATTTCCATCTCCCTCAACTACCTATATAATCCAAACTCCCTCCAAGTTTCAAGGGACGAAGTCACTCTCTCTTTTCCAGTTTCAAAACTTCATCATTGTATCAGCTTCAAAACAACTTCTTCCCTCTCCATCATTCACTCTCAATTTTTCTGAACTCTCATAATCTTCAATTTCCCCTCTCTAAACTCCGTCTTCACCTCCACTCTCCATTGTTCGACCTTCAGTTAGTTCTCAAAGCTTCACTTCTCTCTGATTCATCATACAAAGTTCATTTTTCTCAACTTGCGATAATCTTCATAATTGTCATCATTTCCGCTCTTCTCCTATCGCTAACGCACGCAACCCCCAGACCAAAGAAAAGTGAAGACAATGATGAGAGGATCAAGACGAAGCAGACAAGATCAAGAAGGACAATAATTGTATTACTTCATCTATGGATTTCTGAAGCGCTACCAACGTGTCTTCAATAGGTAACCCTCAATCTTCTTCTATTTATGACTTTTTTGCTTGGTCTGTACTATAACCGCGAAGGGTAAAATGCGGAGAACGATAAATCCACCATGTAATCTTGATCGGAAGAAATGTAGAGCTTAAGTTTCGTTGTTAGATTCGGGATAGAGGAAGAGAAATTGACAAAAGCAAGCAAAAGAGTCGAATTCAGAGGGAAACTTTAAGTGGTGTTAACAATAAAGTTGAATTAGAACAGGGGAGAAGGGATGGAGTCATGGCAGCATCGCCATTGTTGTTTTCGAATGTAGAAGAAAGGCTTTCTGCGTAAAGGAGCTGGAGGGGGCCGTTTACAGTAAACGTCGTCGTTTTGGAATTTTTTTTCTCCTTTTATTATTATTCATTTATTTAATTGTTATTTCAAATGGTTAAATCAAAAAAAAAGGAGAACTTATTATTATTTTGCCTTTAAGAATTAATTCCTGATTATTCGATTATTCGAAACTGGTAATTCACTTTGCTCGTCAAGATTCGAGTCTTATGCAGGTTTTTATATGGATACGCTCGAGATGCCGATTGTGATTTATTTTCACATTAAAAGATGCTTCAATAATCATTCCGAATATGGGATTTCTGACTCTTTTCTTTGTTGATGGTAACAGCTCACGAGATCGTCAAGTATCTTTGCTTTTTCTGCTTTGCTCTACGGGCTAGTATCCGTTTGGTATACTTTCTTTCTATTTTTACCTCGCATTTATCTTGTCCCATAGATCATATGAAGTGTGATAGAATCAGGTTTAGGCTAGTCTCCCTATAACTTTTCTTTCCCTTTTCGCATATGCATTTATAATAACAAAAATTTCCTTTTTTACAAACTTCAAAAATACAAAAAAAAAAGAAATTTACTGACAAGAACCATGTCTTGGCTAAGTTTGAGAGATGGCTAAGTTTGGTATGGTTCAAGTCTCAAAGACTCATTTCATGAATAAGTAGAGAAATGGCTAAAATCTCTCTCTTGAGATTAAATAGTTGTCATCTACGAGCAAAATACATCAACCAATACAAACTCTTTTTGCCTTAGGGCCTTCCTTTCTTTCAAAACTCTTTTTCAGAAAGAATATGTTAATTCACTTCTGTACTGACGCGTAAATCTCCAAAGGCCGAGTTGCGGCAGAAGGCGAAATTAATGTTGTTCGTCAAAAACAAACAAATTCAAAACTTTTGTGCGCCCAGGCACATTTTCTCCAAACCTTTTCCGAAAGAGCATGTTAATTCACTTTTGTGCTGACGCGTAAGTCTCCAAAGGTCGAGTTGCGGCAGAAGGCGAAATTAATATTGTTCATTAAAAAATACAAATCAACAAAAACATAAGCCGAACTACGGCAGCTCTGATTCCTCAAAACGGATACGTAGGCATTGGGGTAGGGCCCAAACGAGCACAATTTTATTTTTCCTACATTCTTTTCCCCTTTCTTTGCATGCATTCTCCCTTCAATAGTATAGTAAACAGTAAGCATAGATTAGACACACCCATAAGATAGACAACAAGAGTGGATACCGTAGAGTACTACAGGCGTGTGGGGTACTAATACCTTCCCCTCGCGTAACAGACTCCCTTACCCTTATCTCTCGGTTGCAAGACCTCGATTTCACTCTTTTCAGGTTTCCTAGATGTTTACCTTTCCCTTCATGTGGGATAAAAGACGTTCGATGGCGACTTCATTGTTTTGATGATTTTCAGCCGGTTGTTTCAGCTGGCGACTTCACTGGGGATTAGGTCGACCAAATGCTGGTCCATCCCAGAGTCGCTCCTAGCTCTTGATTTCTTTTCTTAGGATGTTTATTTTTATGCTTTCACTTTATTCGTTCATTTTTTTTATATACCTGTGCATATGCATGTATTACACTCTACTGCCTTCCATATACTGCTGTTGTACTGTATCTGCTTCTTGCTTGGGTGGGAATGTTACTATTGAGGTAAAAGGCCCAGTACCCAGGCCAGAGTGCACTAGGACACCTAGGAATAGAGTGGGGGCATGAAGGCTATAGGACGTGGTCCGATTAGTGCAGTCATGTCATATACCACGCTCGGATGAGGTTCAATTGAAGGTACTTTCATCATGTACGTCTGTGTTGCGATGATTTTACTTTCAGGCGGACCCGTGATTTTCGAGTTACCATTATCTCACCCTGACCTAGTCTTCACACGTGAGTGGGGAGGGATTTATCATTACAGGTACAGTTGGTGACTATATTCAGACGATTACTTTTGGTTATGTCCTGCATTTCTGCCAACAGTTATGAGGTTCTCAGATTTATTTTCTGAGGACTTATCTTTGATCTTCATGGTCCTCTTCCAGTTACATTTCAGACCTGTAATCTCGGTATTGACAAGGATACGAAGGGGCAGTACAACAGAAATCAGTATCATGAAAGTAGTAACCCCATGATCACTTGCACACACATCATGGAATATTTACCTTTCAATATATATATATATATATATATATATATATATATATATATATATATATATATATATATATATATATATATATATATATATATATATATATATATATATATATATATATATATATATATATATATATATATATATATATATATATATATATATATATATATATATATATATATATATATATATATATATATATATATAATTAATTCGCATACGCATTGTCATTTCCAGGATCTATCCAAGGTTTCCTTTTCCTCCAAAGAATGGTGAACAACACTGATGTTACCCCGAAGACGAAGAGGGATAACTTCAGCTATCAGTTTCGTCCTAGTACTTGGCCCTCTCTTGAAGAGCTCAGAGACCTCATGAATTGTCAACAAATGGGCATTTTTGGTGAAAGATATGGGAATCTCCTATCTTTGCTGGATGCTCGGGTTAACGACAAGGCTGTACAGACGTTGTTACAATTTTATGATCCAGAGTTGAGATGCTTCACATTCCAAGACTACCAGTTAGCACCTACTCTTGAGGAGTATGCTCATCTTCTCCACATTAAGCTCACCGGACATGTTCCATTTGTTCAAATCCCTATTGAACCTGATTTTGAGGCTATTGCTAAGGTTCTTTATTTGAGCCTTAATGACGT